CTGCTGAACTGCAGCCTCTTGTAACTTCCTACTTAGTGCTTTTGTATTCTGTACTTTCAACTAAAAAAATGGAACTTGAGCAGTTTTGTTTTGTTTTTTTACTTGAAGCTCTAGTTTTCTAGTCCTTTCTTTATACTGTACAGTATTTTGTATGTTGAAGCTTGTATTAAAAGGCCTGTTCAATTACCCTCTTCTGGCTGGTGTTTGAATTATAGTCTACTTAAACATTTCATAAAGCCTGTCCAGGACTTAGACCACTGCAGGCTGAAGATACAGGCAGGAGTTTGTCTCCCCCTAGAGGAGGAAGTATGTCCCTTTTGAAGGCAAGTTACTTATACACAGAAAACAAATTATGAAGTTTATTTATATAAATTATGTCTCTTAGCAGACAGCATTCAATTTATTGCACTATAGCACATCTGCAATACAGAGCTACAAGACATTGTAAGAGTTTTGTATTATTCAATGTAGCACTTTAGACCAGGATCAAGAGGCACTCTAAAGGGAGGGAGAAAGGGTGCAGGAAAGCAGCAAGCAGCCACCATTGTCTTCCAGTATTTTTTGTTTTTTCTCCTCCTCCTCTTTGCTAGCATTGTTGAGGCAGCAAACAACGCTGGGGCCAGCGGGCAGAAGGCTCACAGGAGCACATCTGCCCTCCCTTCTCTGGCTGATAGAAGAGAAGCGGACCCCTTTGTACTGTTAGGCCAAGCTCCTTCACGTGGGAGGGTAGGCAGACCAGGACATAGTCTCAAGCAGTCCAGGTGCCTGGAGGACATAAGCAGTCCTCCATCTTGGAGGGACACAGCTCCCAGGAGAGTTACAGTCCTCCACCTACCTCTCCACCCCCACAGAACAGAAGCTGCAGCCCCCACAGCTCTCTAGCTTCTGCCAAAATGGGAGATAGCTGGGTACCCCGCTACAGAGTCCCAGTGACAAGAGAAACAGGGACCTTAAGGCAATTTAACCTCTCCCTTCTTGCCCAGCACAGGGGCAGACTGTTGCAAATTTTTGGTTTGCCAACTTTGGTGAGCTGCCACAGTCAAAGGCTAGCAGCAGGTGACAATGGTTGGATATTCTAACGCTGTCACTAAGCAGCACCTATCCCTGTTCTGCAGAGTTTGCTAACAGCACTCGCTCACCCTTAGCCCCATGAGGAAACTCACTGTGCCCTCCATGAGATGATCTAACAGTCAAGAGCAGCTCACAGCCTTACAAGTGCCTCCAACAACCCCCACCAAACAGTCCACACATGCTGCTGCTAGTGACAGAACAGCCCCAAAGCACAGCAGGTCCTTGCACTGCCACTCACACGGTATGAACAATACAAAGCTCTGGTTTCAGCCTCCAAGTGAAGGAGGCTGAGTCACTTGGACAGAATGAAGGAATCCAGGGGAAGGGCTTGTACTGGATGAAGCCACAGAATCAATCTGGTATGAGTGCTCCAGCTGGAGAAGACAAGTTTTATCCAAAAATAAACTATAGTCAATAAATACGACAGGAGCATGGCGCTAACTGGAGTAAGCACAACATGATCAAAGACAACACCCTCCTCCCAAGTTTAAACTCATGCAGCCGGTGGAAGTGTGCATTAGGGAGTATTCACAGGCAAGCAAGGCAGTTGTAGCCCTTTGCGCTGGTATCCCTTCATTCTGTTTTGCACTACACTGGAAAGACTAGTCAGTCACAGGGTAAAGCATGTTCTTCTGAGACATCTGCAAACAGCAATTTGGTGCAATAATTGTTTTTAGGCCTTCATGAGCGCTGCGACCACAGCCTTGGCATTAAGGCTACGCAGATCACAGTAGGTTTGTCCAGTACCAACAAATACTATGGGCTTGCTCGTGATGTACGTCATGGAGATCGCGGCACCAACCTGCCAAGGACAACAAGCACCGTTAACCAGAGCTGCCCGGGGCCGTCCTTCGGAAAAAACACACCTTCGCCGCTTGCACAGAGCCTGCTACTCCCAGGTTCGGTATTTCCAGTTCACTTTACACCACGCTGTGAACTTCAAGGGGAGGAAAAAGCACTAATGGACCCAGGGATACAACAGAAGGGTCACGTTGCATCTTGGAAAGCAGGCAGACGCAGAGCGGAGAGAGAATAAAGCTGACTAACAAGGTGTTCCCAGAGGGGTGGTGATGGTGCAGGCACCTCGCACCCTGAGGTATGCTGTGCTATAACTTTATACTAAAGCTGCAGGCTATACCAGTTGCTTTGAACAAACATCTATGATTAAAAGTCAATTCCCACCAGGGTTTGGCCTTCCTGAGATCTCCTTCCTTACCCTTGCAGCAGCAGGTTCGCTCTGCTGCAAGATTTTATAGTACCATTACTCTGGATGGCTTTTTATACAGGCTTCGAGTGCCTGATTTGTGGTATGCTTCCCTGCGGGCCATTTGGGATGCGCTTGCTGCAGCAATTCCAGTATTATCTCCTCGGGACCACGCTGAAGAGCTTGTCAAACATTCAGCATATTGTCCGTATCTGCATGATCCCATTTCCGATTGCCCTATTGCAATAATGCATACAAACTGGGAGAGCTCGCAGCCGTTTCCCCACGTGTATAGAAATCAGGTCAGCCTGCTTAGTTTTCTTTGTTTAAATTGCTTACACGCAAGGGGGAGGCAGGCTGGGGCAGAGGACTGCATCCAGGACAGCCTGGAAACGCTCCATGTTTGTTCACTCAGTCTCTCCCCCTCCAGTCACCAAGGGGAAGCTCTGTGCAAGGTTGCTCAAGACAAGCGAGGGAGAAAAGAAATCCTCCTGGTGACAAAAGGCCTTCTTACCTTGTCATCGATGGTATCGAACTTGGTGAGCACAATTCCGTCAATGAGCCGTGGTGTCTGGGCCATGGAATGATCAGCCAGGGCCTTGTTAAACTTGACCTGCGGAAGAAAATGTATCCAGGAAATGCATTTGTGATGCTGATAGTGTCTGGAACTCCTCCAATAAAACCCGCAGAAGCCTTTTCCAAGGGTCAGCATCTGCCCTCATCTCATCTTTAAGTTCAGGGAAACAAACTCTCGATGCTCACCAGCTGATCCACAGCCTCGTTTCCCACGAGAGCTTCCCCAACAAACAGGACCAGGTCAGGAGCATTGACTGCGATGAGTTTGGCCAGAGCTGTCATCAAGGGGGCGTTGTCCTGCATGCGGCCCGCGGTGTCGACCAGGACCACATCAAAGCCCTGGTTACGAGCTGGGAAAACGGGGAGGCAACATAAGCAGGAGAAAGTCCAGAGCTCCCCTCAGAAGGCACCTGCTGCTACCGCTTTTTAGCGGTCACGGCACTGAATGACCCACCGTAAGAAATGGCCTCCATGGCAATGCCCGCAGCATCCTTCCCGTAGCCCTTCTCGTAGAGCTGCACCATGGTCCGCCCGCCGTGGTTCTCCGGGGGGTGCAGGGCGTTGAGGCGGCGGGTGTGCGTGCGGAGCTGCTCCACCGCTCCGGCACGGAACGTATCGCAGGCGGCGATCAGGACGCTGAAACCGTTCTCGATCAGCCAGAATGAGATCTGGAGTTGGCGACAGAAACGCTCGTTACCTGCCACCCGTGGGTCCACGCAGCACCCAGCCAAATGCACTCCACCGCCTTGCACACAACCCCTGAGCCACCCCCATCCAAACAGCCGCCACGCTGCCCCTACCTTGGCCAGGTTGGTGGATTTCCCAACGCCGTTGACACCACAGAAGGTGACTACATAAGGCCGGCGATGACGCTGGGCGTCCATGACGTCCCGGAGGACGTCCACGCGGCGCTGGGGCTGCAGGATCTGCACTAGAGCCTCTTGCAGGGCCTGCTTCACTGTTGAGGTCACCGCTGGGAGAGAGGAGTTAGAACCTATCACAACTGGAAAACACTCCAGGGAAGCCCTGAGCTCCAAACCACAAACGCGACGAGGCCAAGGAGACGTTTGGAAGCAAGTATCATATGTCTGCCCACTTTAACTTTAACCCCACTTGGCAGGGGTCAGAGCCCTCCAAGGGGCTTTCCTCTCTTACCAAAATACCTGCAAGAGTCATAAGTCACTTCAGAGTAGTTTAGCCGACAGGCAGCCTGGCTCTCTCATCCTTCGGGGTGTTTGACAGGAAACTCAACAAAAGCAGAGCAGCAGCAACTGCTGGGACTACCCAGCTCCGTGTAAGCACCAGGCCAGGCACACAGGGAGCAGGGGACTCATGAAAGCCAAGTCGGACATGCGGAGAAGTGGCACAAGTGCATCGCGGCTACTTACTGGTGAATGTTCCCATCACTTTCCCTTCCAGTTTCTTAGCCACTGACTCACAGAGCTGGACTGCAATCTCAGCTGCCACGTTTTTTGCTGTGAGGAGGAGGAAAGCAGGGTTAGTCCTGTTGGCCGAGTTCCACATAAAGGACAGCGTCCCACTCGGCCCCCGGAGTTTGGTAGATCAAGGGAAGGAGAGGGATAGAGGCAGCGCTGCAGGATCCCCATCAGACCAGTTTTTCCTGTGGCAGAGAAGAGTGCACAGATGCTTCTTCAGAGCATCCCATACTATGGGATGGCCTACATGGGACCCACAGCCCAGCAGCCCTGCAAGACTCCACTGTTGTCCTCCTTTTGCTCATTTTATGTGCTGTTGAGGATCCCCTAGATGTGAGGTAGGAACCTGCTGCACGATGGGTGAACAAGAACTGCCTAAATTTGGGCACCACCCCCCTCTGGAGCCCATCTGAAGAAGTGCAGGTCCTTGGGAATCAACTCAGCTCTGCGTGATGCAGCAGGCTAGGGCTTTAGCAACCATCTGAGCCCACGTCCCAAACCAGGAAGAGGCATTCACTGCAGTGACAAACAACAGCTCCAGAGGGCACCACAGTCACCTACAACTCACCCGGGTCACTTGGGTGATCATTTCTAGCCTACGACACCTTAGAAGGCCTCCTTCCTCTGGAAGGACCCAGAGCCCCTTTCCCTAGTCAGCTCCACAGACCAATCCATTCCCAGCATGTTCCAGACATACCAATCAGATGATCCTTCATCTTCTCCAGCACTGGCTCCATGTCCTCTCTTGTCAGGCTTTTGGATCCCACCAGGCCTTTCAGCATGCCAAACATGCCTCCCAGGCCACCCTTCTTTGCACTGTAGAGAAGCAGAGTCGTTACCTTTACACGCGAGGAATCAACTGCATAGAGCGTGCAACAGCCGGCAGCAGGCAGACACAGACAGTGTTTGTCAGCTGTGTGACAAGCTCTATTTGTCTCCACTGCATTACAGACTGGTTAGACTGGAAGACGAGTTATGGGACAGAAAGCAAGGAGTGTGTAGCAATCAGGGGTTGCAGTAGCCCTTACCTTGGTTTTGAAGGGTTCTGAACAACCTTCTCCTCTTCAGGTTCTTCATCGCTCTCATATTCAAGGTCATAGAGGCGGCCGGGCTCCCGATTTCGATCCCCCAGGGCCTGCAAGAGCAAAGACACACACTCAAAAGCTGTAGCAGCTTCACCTCATTTCTTCCTGGTTCGCTTTCACTGCCACCAGGAGCAGTTCTCACGAGCAGCAGAAGCCATTCTGCAGACATCCTTGCCAGAAGGGTTCAGCTGTTTGACCTCATCTGTGTGCAAGTCCGGTGCTGTTTGCAGCTGTCACAGGAGGAGAAAACATTCTCTAGGCCACCACAGCTTTTCAGGAAGAAGGCGGGGAGCTGTGATCCCAAGTAACAGTACTTTCTCAGCCAGCCACGGAGACCAGGCTGCATTTGTAATGTCCAGCCGATTCAAGAACAATGCACCAAAACAAACATAACGACCTGACTTTTCCTTACTATATCAGGGTCAAATTCCTCCGCAGGACAAGCCTCTGAGTTTCCGTTGGTAGTGGAGTTACTGTAATCGAGTACTTTGGCATTAGAGTTCCCCAGATCCCACACACGGGGTTTCTTCCCCTTCTCCTTCTGAGCCTCAGGCTTCGGAGACTTGCTGGAATAAAGACCAGAAACACATTTTGTTCAATATAATCAAGAATAAGCAAAGATTGCCTTGGAAGGCATGAAATTCAAGAGCCCAGATATCGATCAGAAAGAGCGACATTGAGGTTAAACCTGGTTGATTCCAAATCTCTACAGAGTTTATTTATCTGAACTTTAATCCTGTATCAGACTCGATACAGACTGCTGAAGTCTGAGCCAGGCATCAACGCCCCGCTGCCCTTTGCTCGCGTTACGTCTCACCACAGAGCACGATCTGCACGCAAGGCAGCCAAGGCCAGCACCGCTACGGAGAACGCAGCGCAGCTCTCCCAGGCACACCTTGGATTTCTGGGTCTCCAAGGGAAGAGATCAGACCGTTTTATCACAGCTAGCATCCCGCGCGTGCCATCTCCCATTCTTTTTAGCAAGCACAAGACACGTAGAGAAATAACTCTGAAGACTACTTATCTAGTCTAAACCCCAATTAGTAGAACCTCAGAAGCAGCAACCAACAATCTCACTTTCGGACAGAAAACCTTACTGAAACTTTGAACTCAAAATTTTACCACGAGCATGGTCTGATGACCGGGGGAGCTGACTTAGAGAGGTCACTGAAGGAAAACAGGGGCTTGGAGATCACAGAGAGGGCAGAAAGACTGGTGGAAACGAAACTTGTTCATGCAAACCACTAAGGGCTGGTTCAAAACGCAGGCAAATTGATCATTGCCAAGGATGGAAGAGATGCCCCCGCCCCCTTACCCACCTCGACTTCTCTCCTGCTTTCATGTGCCTCTTGAAGAATTCCTCCCGGTTCTTTTGCAGTATTTCATCCTTGGTCAGTTCTTCCCTGTCCCCAGTTGCAGAGGGCTGCTTTTCACCTGGGGCTGCTTTATTGGATGCTGTAACAGCTTCGGTTCCTGAACGAAACAGCCCTTGTCAATCTTTATGCAGCGCTCAAGTTGGGATCACCGCACGGGACCGCACGGGCACAAGCTGCACCGTAACGTGAGCTCAGCCCCGCAGAACAGGTAGCAACACCCAGCGCTATCCCAACTGCCCATAAGACATTCTTGTATCGAGGCAGAGTCCTGCTCCAACCAGACCTGGAAAATTTTGGAAGCTCCAACAGAACTGAGCATCTCATTTCAGCCTAAAGCTAGCAATGTTTGGGATCCAACTCTGCCAGGAGTTGCAGTTTATGAAGCAGTTCCCAAAAAAACATCGTTATAGGCATGGATTTTGGCGTACAACTCATTTCCCACTTAAGAACCAAGAACATACACATGAAACGGCCGAGTCATTACTACCAAAATAGCCTTCGTATCTCGTTTCCCCAACTCAAGCGCTAAATCTCATAATCTGAACACTAGTTGTCCCTCAACCTGCTCCCAGGCTTCTTTCACAGCAAGTGAGCTGAGAGACACAGCAAGCTACGGTATCAGTGGCAGCTTCAAGTTGCTTTCTGAAGGAGACAACTTTGCGTCCTCTCCTCGTGATGCCAGAGCTCAACAAGGTCAAATCCAAGACGAGGCTCCTGTTCTAGCACTTCTGCTCTCACGCTGTCAAAGCGGGCAGCTTGTCCAGGACATATAAAACTTGGGTACGCAGGGGCACCTCCTCAAGAGCACCAGTGTTTGGGTGCTGCGAAAGGACTAGAAAAGCGCAAGCTGCACACACACAGCCTGCGTTTCAGAGCTGTGGATTATTCACTTCTCCCCCGTTTATATTTCCCATCAACTCACCCTCCTTTTTGGAACCTTTGTTCTTCTTGTTCTTGGCTTTCTCCTTTGGTTTCTCCCCTCGAGTTTCTATCATACACTTGACAGTCTTCTGAAATTTCATCGACTGCTCAAACGTCTTCATTACGGTGGGAGCTCGGACTTTACTGCTCTCCTCTGCTTCCCTAGGGAGAGGCGACCCATCAGCCTGAATGGCAACTCTACCCCCCGATCCACCTCTGCTCCAGGCAGGAACTTAAAGCCTGAAAAAGGTCAAATACAGCTCAACCCTCCCCAGTGATCAGTTTTATCGCTCGTATTTTGGCCGTTACAGCCACCATATTTGCTATTGCTCAGGGGGCAACGCAACAACAAGAGCAGAACAGAGCTACCCACCCCCAGGGCACAACTTTCCCCACAAAAGCTCCCTTCACCTCTCCAGCAGAGGACGGAGCGAGCAAGAGCCCAGACAAGCACGCAGGCCTATGGCCCCAGAAACGGCCGTCTGACAGTCCCTTCCGCATGCTGCCCTGAATAATTCAGTACCAAGCACAGGGAAATTTCACTATAGCGAGAAGTCCTGTTACCGGAGGAGACGCAGAAAGTCATCTTTAAAATCAAAGGTGCCATTTAGGAGGCCCAGAGTGCCTTTCTGCTGAAACTCATTGCGATATTTATCTCTGAACTCCTTGTGAACGTCATCTATCAACTTGTCTACGTAGGTTAGCGTCAGGATCTTCTGAAATCCCACCTGCAAAGCAGCACAATAAGACAACGTTGTTCCTTCAGCTGACGACACACGCACAAACTAAACAAGAGAAATTAATTAATTGCTATATCTAGTCAGCAAGAACGAAAGCAATGGGCTTTCCTGGATGTCAGACATTTGATACAAAGGTCTTTAATTTCAGCAACAAGGTGACGCAGGCTTCAGGCTACATTTTCTAATCTCATCTCCCGAGCTTTTAATGTGCTCTCAAAAAAACAGCACACACCAGAGCTTTGCTTTAAACGGTGACACCAATAAAAATGGGTTGACTGTTTCAGAGCAATAAAGACACTGAAAGACCAGGAAGTCTTTTGCTTAGTTTTAGGTACGTATTGAAGGTTTTTTGGATTCACATAGATAAGGTACAGAAAGTCTGAAGAGAAAAGCATTAGAACGTATCCTAAAGTAGGAAAGATTAGGCATTTCCGGCTTTTTAAATAAATACGGTCAAAGTAAGTCCCGTGTTACTCTTCCGTGCTAAAGTTTTATTGGGATTAACAGTCTGTACATTTCCATTTGCGTTTTAACACTGAAGTCTTAATCCTATCATATATTATTCAGAAACACCGCTACAGACTACAGCGGTTTCTCACTAAGACAGCCACAAAATCCAGTCCTCCGAGATAAATAACATCAAAATCCCCCAAAATGCTGAGAAATCCCACGGAGGCCACAGGCAGCTGGACAGCCAAGGCCTTCGCCTCTCACACCTTGCCTATTTCCCAGGTTTACCACGAACAAGCAGCGAATGGGACAAGCGCTGCTACCCCTTACGAGTAAACCAAGGGTTACTGTGCTGCAACGCAGAGCCTTCGAGCACATCTGCAAATAGCTCAGGAGCTCTCTCAGGACGACGCGCGCAGGAAACGCATCCAAAGTGACCTTAGCAAGGAACCTAGCTAATCCGGGATTCGCGTTCAATCCCCAAGACACGCTATCGGGGTAGGCAGGCAGCGGATCCGACAGCGTGCCGTGGGTAGCGAAACACGCCGTGCTAGAACCCTCCTCGAGCAAAAGCCGAGCGCAAGGTAAACTAGGAGAACTCCGTTATATCCAAAATCCTCCTCGTGGAAAAAGTCCCAGAGCTGATGTTTGCACTCGCCAAAGAACCTCGTTTGCAGGGCTTGCCAACCACACCAGAAAGACGGCACCTCTGTGCCTTCTGCCACCGCAGCTCCAGAGCCGCTCACCAGGCAAAAGCCTTTAGCCTGCAGCTCTGCTAGGAAAAGCCACCAATTTGCTCTTGTTCCCGAACGCGTTTCCAGCTTTGAGTAACGCTGCAAAGAGTCTTCCCAAACGAGAACAGCACGCAAACACTGACGCAACGCCGCGCTCGCAGATCTGGGCACAGCAGCATTTCCTCTGCAGCCGCCGCAGCAAAGCCTTCAACGGACAAACAGGGCAGTATCGCTTTCACCCACAGCATCCAGAAGCAGGAACGGAGCTGATGGGAGCCTCGTTTAAACTAAAAGCAGGCAGAGAAGAAAGACGACTACAGAATCGGGAGGGGCAGATAACTCCTAGCGTCTTCCCCAGAAGGGCCGTGAGAGCTGGGGAGAAGAGAGCAGAAGGGACTGCAAGGCAACAAAGCCTCCTTCGCGAGCACCCAGCGAGACAGCCTGCTCCAACAAGCTATGAAAAAAGCAGCTCCCCCAGGTGAGGGATCCAAACTAGAGCACGCGTTGAAAGAGTTAGCTTGCTTAAACTGCTACAGGCGGATAGTTATTCTGCAGCCAGCTTTGTGTTCCCATGAACACTCCCATCCGAGCAGGGCGGATCGACGCCACCTGAACAAGTTTCCTCACTTCGCACGTTGTTGCTGCTCCCAAGCTTTTCCCGGCACAGGGCTGGCAGCCCGCGCGGCACCAGCCGTTCCCTCCTCAGGCCAGATCAGTCTGAGCCGGCCGGCGTCCCGAGCT